AATCCCTTCTCCTCCATTCTCCTCTTGGGATCTTGGGCACGCACGCACACGCGCCTGGCATGAGTTTGAAGCCACCGGGTCCAGGACACAAACTGCGGTCGACTACGTGGGAGTCCAGCGACAGCCATTACGGCTAACTGCTGGTTCCCATGACCTTCACTCTTGACTAATCTATTTTTGTCTTGATGAACCACTTCTAACTCTTGGTAGCCATTGATTTAATTGTGCTTTGTTTTCAGGCATGTACTGGTAAAACTATGAGTTATTTCCCACTACAACTCTTTGAAAAAAAAAAAAAAAGTTTCAGGATCTTGATCACACTTGTTTAAATTTTCTGTCCAAAGCTCTGTTCTTGTCTGCAGCTGTTCTTGGCACAGAAGTTTTGGTAACCATTGAGTCAGAAGTTCACTGAACTTTAGTTTTAATGAGAATAATGTAAGCTGAACCAACTGTAATATCTATGGTGTTGGCTATTGTTCCTATTTTAATTATAGTCTTCTTCAATTAGAACACAAAGATGATTAACTTTTGTTCCTCACAGATTGATGTGGATGATGTGCTGCTGCTGGCACAATCTTTGATATCATCTCATCCCTTCTTAAAACAGGTTATCTATTCATAAACTGCAGATTTCTTTGGGGCATTGTCCCTGTGAACTTATCATAAAGCATCAAGGATTTCATGATTTTTCCACTCAAGATTTACCACAAATTGATATTATTATTATTATTATTATTGTTTTATAATTAATCACTGTATATCATTATGGCATACAAAATGGATTTTCCCATCCTGAAAACACTGTAAATTGGCTTAATCAAAGATGTTACCATATCTATTATTATCAACAGATAAATTATCCATTTTGTGGTTCTTACATGTTTTGTTTCTTTCTTTTTCCCATTGATTCTCTCCCTCCACCATTTGCACCATCCTCCCACATTGTCTATGGTATCCACAGTTGCTTTCTCTACCTTTATATTTTTCAATATTCCAGTTTCTGTAAACATTCAGTGTAGATCTGAAACCAAGCAAGAACCCCCTAATGTATTTTATAGGGTTCCTGAAATATAAAGTCTATTTACGTTGTAATGGCCCAGAGTAAGAAGTAAGCCTTGATTTTGGTTATGATAATGACCAACATGGACCATGAGTGAGGGCCATTTGATCTCTTAAATTCTCACTTAAAGGAAAGAAGGTTTTCAATTCAATATGCAAGATGTTTTGTAGGCTGGAAACTGCTGGTTGTGAGCTCAAAGACTCCAGGCTGAACAGTTCCAGACATCTGAAGAGAAATTTGATGATCTAAGGCCTCACTAATCAAGAATGCCCACGAGATGATCACACCCTCTTAAACTAATCACTGAACTGATCATGCGCCTAGGACCTCTGCCCCTAATTTTGCCCTTAATAATGCATGTAGGGGGACCAGCAGTTAGTGTAATGGCTATGTCACTGGACTCCCATGTAGTCAACCGTGGTTCAAGTTACAGACCCAGTGGCTTGGACTCATGCCGGGCGCATGTG